TTTTTCAAAATGATTTGGGAATACATAGATACAAATTGTATGATAAAAGTACCTTACCGATATATTAATTTAAATCAAATATTTACCAGTTAATTATATTATTTAATTGTACAAGTTTCCTTGCGAAAAATTAAGCCAAACCTTTTCATGAACTTCATACTGCACGACGAAGCCAGCACACAGTGGTTCAAAATTGAAATTTAATGTTCATAATTCACCGGAGCCTTTATTTTGCACCTTTTTACTAAAAACAAAAAAAAATATTTATTTTGGTGAAAATTTTGTTATAACATTTCAAATTTTCTTTTTTTGTAATTTTTTTGTTTTGGGAGAACCATACAATTGTTTTCAACTAGTTTTTGTTATGAACCATTTATTAACTGGAACAGGAGAATACATTTTCTTCAAAATTGCTACTTTTTCTGCATTTTGTACAAAAAAATGTTATATAATCAAATAAGAATTAAAAAAAAGGCTCAACTGGTCTCTGGCAAATATTGTAAGCTTTCATAAAAAAAAATAAAAAGTAATCAAATTAAGTGAAAAATGAAGGCTCCAGTGAATTACGAACACTAAATGCCGGTTTTGAGCCTCTGTGCAGCAGGGGGTTTATCTTCTTTAAGTGGAGCTGGAAACTCAGCGTGCAGCACGATCCTGGGCACAACTTTCCCTGTGCTTTATATATTGTACAAAGATTACCGATTAAATGATTAAACAGAAACCCTTAAGTGGGGTGCGAAGCAAACTGGCGAAGGTTTTTATTATATTTTATAAGGGACATTTTTATTTTTCATATTCTGTGTTTAAGAATTTATCTCTGAAAAATGCAGAGCTGATTTAAAGGACAGTTTAAGAAATAAAGGACAAAAGGCGTAGTCATAGCACACACTTTTCCTTCTCTACCTAGCGCAGTGATCGACATGCTATAGCTTACTGAGCGCTCTGTGACCACATGCGTGTTTCACCCAAGAATGATAGAATACAAGATTGCGCCAATCGAGCTGAGAGCAACTGGCCATGACGTCAAAATATACCAGAATGAGAGAGCAAAGACGAATTCAATAAGAAAAAGAAGAAGAATCGAACAGCAGGGGCGAAATTGAAAGGTTTGTTTACAAAGTGCATAATAAATCGCGGATTTACGGAATTATTTAATTTTAAATGGTAAATTGGTTGTTTTAAAAAGTAAAGAATGTGTACTTCTTAAATGCAATGCAAATCGCTGAAAGTGTTAAAACACTGCAATCATTATAATGCTGCTCTCATTCTCGATAAAAATTTCTAGACAACACCACTCTGTGACTGCCAAATGTGCAAATGTACACATCGTGTGATCCCTGCTTTACACGCAACTATTCAGTTGATCAGAAGTACGCAACAACGCGTTCAGAAGGTGCAATCGCACCAGTTACTGAGCTGTTGCGCCTTCTGAACGTGCCCAATGAAAATTCGTTTCTCTTGAAATCAAGTTATATGGCTGCGTATGTATGTACATATGTACACATTTCGAAATTTTTTTTATTTGTAAAGGCTCTCAAGAAAAACTCAAAATTCATATAAAACTAGATCGCCCTCACCCGCTTCGCTGAGTGTATAAAATTTCTACGTGATACATTGAGTAAAATTTATTTCAAGAAAACTCAATTAAAAACAGGAGGTTTAAAATTTGTTTAACCATCTTCAAAATATTTTCAAACTACAATTTTCCTAAACTTCTCACTTGTCATGCTTTTTCAATTAACTTATCCCCTGAACTCAATTTGAGATTTTTAACAGATGGAAATCTCTTACATGTAGTTTTGAATTTAAGCACTTTCAAGACCATTTCAATTGACACCCATATTTTAATAATTCATTTAAATTATTGAATAGTTTGAATTTAAATTTTTAAACAGTTGGCAACCTTTTTCAACCTCTTTCGTCTGACACTCATATTGTGATTAATATTCAAAACCATTTAGATTCATACCAATATTCCACAACAATATATATTTTGAAAGCAGTTTTTTATGTGTTCGCAAAGCTCGAGAACGGCCGAACCGATTTTTATGAAATTTCGGATACCTGCTTCAGACGTCCCAAGGATGGTTATAGGCTAAAAAAATTTGATATATGAAGGGGCGTGGCACTTCCCATACAAACCGATTTTCTCATACTGCATATCTCTGGAAGCGTTCATGGTAGAATACTGGACCTTGGTACTGTGACATATAAAATCAATCTTATACTCATGGAGAAAAATGGGCTATTTGAAAAGGGGACATGGCGCCGCAAAAAAGTTTGTATATGATTCTTCTGTCTGTGTGTTGGTAAGTGAAATTCTTCTAAATTCCCGGACCGATTTTAACGAAGGTTATTGTGTACTTTTGA